GACCTTGGTTCAAATCTAGCCTCAGATATGACCCCAGACAAGTCACTTAACCCTATTAGCCTCAGTTTCTTCACTTGAAAAATGAGCTTGAAAAGAAAAGGTCAAACCATTCCAATATCTTTGCCAAGAAAACCCCAGATGGGGTCACAGCTGAAATGCCTGAACAACAACAAGTATATACATGTATATGTAGATGTGTGTATGCGTGTGTTATTTATGTATGTGTGTATATGTAGACATGTTGTATGTGTGTGTTATTTATGTATGTGTGTATGCATATTTGTGTATACACATATATATGTGCATGAGTGTGTATTTTTTCTTTAAAACTGTATATAACAAAAGTTCATGATTTCTTATATAATCCTCTATCCTATTCCTTGTATCTTGAAATGTCAGTGTTTGATGATAATTGTTAAATTCACAGAAAACAAAATTTAAGAAATAAAAAGATAAAAGAAAAAAAAATAAAATCCTTTCCAAATAAAACATTTTATGTTTTATGTTCTAAGGTCCCTTTCTAATGCTCTAATATTCTACATTCTAAGGCATCTTCCAGCTCTACCACAGGGGACCTGAGCCTATGAGCTATTTAAGGTCCCCAGAATTAAAATTCTATGCAAATCAACCACAGGCAAGGGCTGATGGGAAGCATAGGAAGTGCTTTGAGCAGAAACAGAGACTCTCCAAAATTCATTCTTGGTCACCAACATATCCAAAGTTAATTAGCCCTGGCAGGGTAGACCCAAGAGATTTTTTTTTAACAACGAGAGATATTTTTAACTAAGGCTCTTCCACAGGAAATACGAGAAGGATCAAGCATTTTACACCTAATTAATGGGACTGACTGGAGTTCTGGAACATGTTCCAGATTCATGCTCCCCAAATCTATTAAGTAGTTATGATTAAATGAAGCTGGTTGTATTCATAGAGTGGCAGCGCTTCAGGCAAGGACTCAGTAGAATTTTAATTTTAATTTACAGATGTTCCTTTGAAAATAAATATGGAAATAATGCTGCTTCTGGAAGGAGCTGTGATGACTCCTTGATTTCTTACCATTCTGCATTTTCCCTACCCCACCCCATATGAGATTACCAGCTCTAGCTGTTATGATAAAAATCCACTGCAGCCCTCTCTGAAAAACTGGGGAATGTGCGCGTAAAGTAGCAGGTAATGGTGCTCAGAATGCTTTGGCCATGGGGCCTTGGAGACCATCTAGTGCAACTCTTTCATTTTACAAATGAGGAAAATGAGGCCCTGAGAGTGAAAGCAACTTGCCTATGGGTTGCACGGCTTGTGAAAGGAAGGTTTGGGACTTAAACCCAGGTTTTCTCCCTTTTCCATACCCGGTGCTCCTTCTCCCTTGACTCTGCAACTTAGTCCCCATCTCTTCTCTCCACGCACCCTCCCTCACACTCTCATCCCTCCCCATGGCTTCAGTTCCAGCTTCCCTACAAGATGCCTCCCAAGTCTCTATGTACAGTTATGTAGAGAAGTTCTATGTGGACCTGTCAACCCACATCTCCCATAACCCACAGGCCACACCCACTGGTGCCTCAAACTCAGCACGTTTATAGGAATTCATTGCCTAGAACACTGAGAGGTTAAACGACTTGTCAAGATCACCCAGAGGGCAGCATTTGAACACAAGTCCTCCTGGCTTTGGAGCCAGCTCTCTACCTATTAGGCCACACTGGTTCTCAATGTTAAAAACCAAGCCTATGATCTGTCTCCCTAAACCAAGTCCTCCTTCAGAGGAGAACTGTTTCTGTCACTGGCATCACTGATTAGTCTCCCATGCTCAAAAACTCAAGAGTCATGTTCAACTCTTCTTTTTCTCTCACCCTCATCAATCAATCAATAAATGTTTATTAAGAACCTACTATGTATAGGGCATCTAAGTGGCGCAGTAGTCAAGAGAATCTGAGTTCAAATCCGGACTTACTAGTTGTGTGACCCTGGGCAAGTCACTTAACCCCAATTGTCTTCCCCCTGCCCCCCCCCAAAAAGAACCTATGTGTCACAGGCACTCTTCTAGTGGCTTGTATTTAACTACCTATTATGTGCGATTATTCTGCATATGCATACAAATGTATATATGCATATACACATATATTATCTCCTCCCACTAAAGTTATAAGCTCTCTGAGGGCAGGGACTATGTCTTTGAATCCCCAGCACCTAACATAGTGACTGGTATAAAGAAGGTGCTTAATAAGTGCTTATTGGTTAATTGATTGATAGAGATGCAAAACAGAAGTAAAATAGTACCTAGTTTCTGATAGCCTATATTCTACTGGGGGAAACAAAGTCTACAGATATAAAGACATACAAAATATGCAGAATCAATACAAAAACATAAAGTATTTGAACAAATCAAATCAAGTCCAGAAGTATTTATTAAGTGCCTACTATGACCCGGGCACTATGCTAGGTATTGGGAGTACAAAGTACTAGGTACAAGTAGAAGACAGTTAAGGAGGGCACCGGCAGTTTCGGGCATCAGGAAAGGTCAAGTGCAGAATGTGGTGCCTAGCCTGTGCCTTGAAGGAAGTGAAAGAATCTGTGAAGCAGACATGAAGACGGAGAGTGTTTCAAGCGTAGGGGGATGATCAGTGCAATTCTCCAAAGATGGGAGATGGAGCACTGTATGTGGGAAACAGGAAAGTCTAAGGTGGATGGAAACTTGAGTGCAGGGAGGGGAATAATGCATAATGAAGCACAAGAGGTGAGCTGGGACCAGGCTGTGAAGGCTTTAAAAGCCAAACAGAGGAAGTTTTATTATACCCCAGAGGCAACAGCTAACCACTAACTGAAGTTTACTGAGTAGAGAAGCAACATGGTCAGATCTGTGCCTAATGAAAATCACTTTGGCAGCTGTGAATAGAGGACAGCTGATAGGAGGGAGAAACTTGAAGCTGGGTGACCAATTAGGAAGCCATTCAATAGTGATAAAGCTTTATCTAGCCTTCCTCAGAATTAGACCCATGATCGGTCTCTATATACAGTAATATCTCTGACATCAGACCCCTCCTTTCCATTGTCACTGCTATGATCTTAATTCAGGCCCTCATTGCCTACATTATTTTAATAGATGAGCCATAGAATTCACTCCTTCCAAACTATCCTGCAAAAGGAACCAAATTAATTTTATTAAATTATTATTAAACAGGCCTCATCATATCACTCCTTTGCCCTCAAAACCTTTGGCTCCTCTTCATTTCCTACTGAATGAAGACCCAACTCTTCAACTTCAATTTTGAGGCCCTCCACTGTCTGGCTCTATTCTGCTCTTCCAACCTTTCCTCCCATTTCTTCTCTCACAAACCTGCTGCTGCAGCCCCATTGGACCACACATTATTTCCCAAATCCAGTACATGTCTAGAATTCCTCCCACCTTATTTCCACCAGTTGAAATCCTGCTTATTTGTCGATGTCCAGTCCACATGCCACTTCCTTACTGAGACTTTCCTGGTCTCCCAAGATGAAAAGGATCACTCATGCCTTTTAATTTTCACAAGACATTTCTCAAAGTTCTCTTATGCACATTCGCCCTGTACTTTGTGTTCTGTTTATTCTGAACATGTCTCATGTGGGGCAGCTAGGTGATGCAGTGGATAGAGTGCTAGGCCTTAAAGTCAGGAAGACTCATCTTCCTGAGTTCAAATCTGGCCTCAGACACTAAGAGTTGTGTGACCCTGGGCAAGTCATTTAACCCTGTTTGCCTTTGTTCTTCATCTACAAAATGAGCTGGAGAAAGAAATGGCAAACTACTCCAGTATCTCTGCCAAGAAAATCCCAAATGTATCACAAAGAGTCAGACACGAATGAAATGACTGAACTGAAGTGATGTCTCATACCCTTTACTAGACTTTGAGCTCCCTGAGAATATTAACAGTTCATATCTACAGCACATTTAAAAGGTTTGTATGTATTATCTGACTTGATCCTTATAACAACCATAAAAGGTAAGTCCTAATGGTATCCCTATATTATAGATGGGGAAACAGAGAGAGGTTAGTTGATTTGTCCAGGATCACACAACTACTAAATAGCTGAAACAAGATTTGAATTCAAATCTAGTGCTCCATCTACTACGTCACATGGAAATTTCATCTTAGTCAACTCTTCCTCCCCCACAGCACTCAGGTAAGAGTTTTGTACTGTGCCATTGCTGTTCAGTTGTTTTCAGTCTGACTCTTTGTGACCCCATTTGGGGTTTTCTTGACAGAGACACTGGAGTGGTTTGCCATTTCCTTCTCCAGCTCATTGTACAGATGAGGAAATGGAGGCACATAGGGTTAAGTGATTTGCCCAGGGCTCACACAAATAGTAAGTGCCTGAGGCCAGATTTGAACTCAGGAGTCTTCCAGACTCCAGGTCTGGGGCTCTGTGCACTATGGCTCCATCTACCTGCACAAGTAGGTCATCAATAAACATAAAATTTATATTGAAGAAAATGGAAGACACATATTTCTTCCATAGATTCAAAGGACTAAAAGTTGTCTGAAGAGATCATAGGATTCAGAGCTAGAAGAGATCTTAGATATTAGTCCATACCAGTTCCTGAGTCTTCTTTTCTCTGGGCTAAACACTTCTACTTCCCTCCGCCAATCCTTGTATGGTGTCCAGTCCTTTCACCAGCCTGATACCCTCTTCTTGACAATATAGTTCCTAAGATGGGACACCCAGAGCTGAACCCAACACACCAGTTGTGGTCTACACAAGAGGACTTTGTAGAGAACATGTTCAGCGTGAACTTGTGATACAGGGGAAAGAGAGCTGCACTTAGAAGAACAGGACCTGAGTTCCAATCCTGACTCTGCCATGTACCACCAGGGTGACCTGGGTAAACCACTTAAGCTCTATAGGCCTACTCCCTACAACTTTAACATGAAGGGGTCGGGCTAGATGACTTCTGAGGTCCCTTTGGGACTCTGAATCTATTGTCCTCCATCTTATTTCAAAATTTTGAATGTTTGATCTTTTTTTCTTTTCAGATCTCCACTACAATTCTAACTTAACCTGCTGCTGTCTCTGCATTCTCTTTTCCTTGCTCCATATCTGACCAGATTATGCCCTCGCTCTGAAGAAGGAAGATGCCATGACATGTCTCACCCACCCATCTTCTTCTGTCATGAAGCTAAAGCCAATTCTTAGTAGGTTTCCCATAACTGTCACGGCCTTCATAAGACAAGGAGAATAAGGAACATTGGAAAGTGAAAAGTCAAACACCACATGTCATCCTCATTCAGGCCTCAGGTCTTCTCAGGACTATCTCACACATGAAGCTGGGATCAGCGTGTGATCATAAGATGCTGTCTCAAGAGTCTTATCAGTACAGGGAATGAGAACTGGAAGGGACCAAACTCATTTTAATGATGAAGAAACTGAGACCTAGAAATAGGTAATGACTTACCCAAGAGCATGCAGGGAGTAAAGCTGGTATTTTTACCCAAGTCCTCTGTTTCTGAACCCAGTGATTTCTCTACTCCACTATACTGCCTCTCATTTACTCATCCAGGAAAGCCCACATTAGAACTTCCTGGTTAAGACCCATAACTCTATCTCTTAATTTAATTAAGAAAGAAGATCTGATGAATCATTAACACCTCAATAGCCATGGATATTTAAATAGAAAAACAGCCGGGAGAGATCATCTATTGAGAAGCCTTCTCTCGGAGGTCTGGTCCCAGAAACTTTGCTGCGTTGTGGTCTTTAGAACTGGAAGCCCAAAATGGATGCTCACAGCCAAAGCTCAAGTTGGCGCCAGGTTTTGACTGGCCTAGTCCTCATACTCCTAATCCTCATCACAGTCTTGGGTAATGTGGTAGTGTGCCTGGCTGTGGGATTGAATCGCCGGCTCCGGAGCCTCACCAACTGCTTCATCGTGTCCTTGGCCATCACTGACCTCCTCTTGGGCCTCCTGGTGCTGCCATTCTCAGCTGCCTGTGAGCTGGGCCAGACGTGCAACTTTGCAAAACCCCTTTGTAAGATTTATACAAGCCTAGACGTGATGCTCTGCACTGCATCCATTCTCAACCTCTTCATGATCAGCCTGGACCGGTACTACGCCATCACAGCCCCACTGCGCTACACCATGGTGGTGACACCCAAACGTGTGGCCATTGTACTTATCTTAATCTGGATGATCTCCATCACCTTCTCTTTCCTGCCCATTCACTTAGAGTGGAACACTCAAAACATCACTAACTTAAGCTCGACCCCCGACAAGTGTAAACTGCAGGTCAATAAGGCCTATGGCCTGGTGGATGGGCTGATCACATTCTATATCCCACTGCTGGTGATGTGTGCCACCTACTATCGCATTTTCAAAATTGCCCGTGAACAGGCCAAGAGAATTAACCATAGCTACTACAACAAGGCTGTCACTATCCGTGAGCACAAAGCCACCGTTACACTGGCAGTCGTGATGGGAGCCTTCATCATCTGCTGGTTCCCTTACTTCACAGTGTTTGTTTACCGAGGAATATGGGGTGACATCAATGAGACCTTGGAAACTGTCGTCCTGTGGCTTGGATATGTCAACTCAGCTCTGAACCCCATCTTGTATGCTGCTCTGAATAGGGACTTCCGCACAGCATACCAGTGCCTCTTCTGCTGCAGGGGCAGTGTCATCACTTCCAGGGGGTCCTCCCTGTCTCCTGGCACCTCCCGCCAGTCCCAGGGCCAATCTCACCAAGTTACACTAGGACTTCAAGAAGAGACATCTCTGAGACGGCCAATGCAAAATGGAAGTGAAGCCCCATTCCCCCAGGAACCAGATAATTATGGAACTTCAAGTTTGTCTGGCCAGAGGTATGGGCAAGGAAGAGGGAGGGAACACTAGCCTAGTAGCAATGGTTTCATAAGTTGTCCTAACAGGTGGTTTTGTAGCTCTGTCTCCCCTTTGTCCCATATTTCTGACTCCACTCAAGAAGGGTACCCAAGATAGAATAATGCCTGTGAGTCTGGGAATGGTTCTGAGAGCCACCCTGAGTATTAGCCATGTCCTGTTCTCATCCAGAAACAAAATTCTTGGCCTTAAGATCCAGTGCAGGCCCCAAAGTCCCACCTCTCTGATCTTTGTGATGTCTCTTGACCTATAAGAAGGCACAGCCATGAGTAGCTAGGTGGTACAGTGGATAAAGCACAGGTCCTGGAGTCAGGAGGACCTCAATTCAAATCCAGTCTCAGACACTTACCAGCTGTGTGACCCTGGGCAAGTTGCTTAATCCTAATTGAAAAAAAAAATGGAATAGGCACAGCCTTGGTTACTTTTCAGGACCCTCAAATGAGACATTCATCCTCTGGATCTGAAAAGTCTAGAGCCAGGAATAGAATTTCCATTTGTTCAATTTATTATTGTTTCTCTGTTTTAAAAAGAAATGGTGGTAAGAGATGGAAGGGACCTTAGAGAATAGAACATAATGTTAAAGTTGGAAGAGATCTTAGAACATAAAACATAAACTGTTACAGCTGCAAAGAACCTTAGACTATAGAAGCTAGAATTTCATTTCTGGAAGGAAATAGTGGAAATAAGCACATAAAATATCAGAGCTGGAAAGGACTTTAGTACAAAGCACAAAGTTAATGATAAAAGAAGTTCTGAAGATTATCTAGACCAATACCCTCATTTTATAGGCCAGAAAACAAAGACCCAGAGAGGGGCAGTTATTTGGCCCAGGCCTTCCATCAATAGTAGAGCTGAAATGAAAACCCACGTCTCTAAGTGCTCTCTCGTGCTCTTTCTAATATGCCAATCTCACAGATGCTAGATGATTATTAAAGGAAATTCAGAAGAAGCTAGTTGGTATAGTGGATAGAGAGCCAGACCTGGAATCCAGAAGACCTAAGTTCAAATCTAGCCTCAAACACTTGCTAGCTGTGTGACCCTGGGCAAGCCATGACCTCTGTTTGTCTCAATTTTCTTAACTGTAAAAATGGGGTTAGGGGGCAGCTAGGTGGCCCAGTGCAAAGAACTCCAGCCTTGGAGTCAGGAGGACCTGAGTTCAAATATGGCCTCAGACACTTGACACTTAACAAGCTGTGTGTGACCCTGGGCAAGTCACTTAACCCCGATTGCCTCACCAAAACAAAAGCAAAACAAAAAACAAAACAAAATGGGGTTAATAATAGCACCTACTCCCCATGGTTGTTATGGGAATCTATTGAGATATTTGTAAAGCACTTAGTACAGTGCCCGGCACATAGTAGGTACTATATAAATGTTAGCTATTGTTGTTATTTGGCTATTTTTAAACCATCCTTAACTATCTGAGGCAAGTATTTAAGAATACGATCCTTCCATCATCCAACCACACCTACCCTGGTGTCCCTCTCAGGGAGGGATATCCCTGGCTGACCCCACACAGCCAGTCAGTCAAACTATGTTGCTTTCACAGTATTTCAGATTTAGAGTCAGAAGGGACTTCAGAGGGCGTCTATAACAATCCTCTCATTTCACAGATGAGAAACTGAAATCCAAGGAAGAGATTAAATAACTTGACCAAAGTCATACCAGAAGTAAGTGGCAGAGCTATGATGTGTACCCTGGTCCTCTCGTTCCAGATCAAACGTTCTAAATGGTTCACGCTAAAGAAAATTTCACCTTTTGCCAAACTTGTTTATTATGCATCATATGTTGTTTTAGTGAATTAATCATCTCCTTGGCTTGACTTACATGTCAAAGAGTTCCCTTTGTACATTTGAAAAAAATCCCTACTCGTTATCTAGTTTCTTGAATCATCTTCTCTTAGCTGGATAGACAAAAAAGCATTTAAATCATGTGGTCTTGATACTCAGCTCAGCAAAGAAGGTGAAAGAAACAGCTGCCATCATGGGAAACCATTTTTTCTGGTTTGCAATTCCTAGTAGAGCTATTGCTTCAAGGTATAGCAGGCACAGCAGAAACAAGCTCAAAGTTGCAAAAGTTTCAGGAACTCCCTGGTGCCTTGGTTCCAGTTCTCAAATGAAGTGTAAAAATGAGAAGAAGTCAATATTACCGAAAAAGCCTTGCTCCTTCCTCTAGTTCAGATTGCAGCCTCTCCATAGCCTGGTAGGAAGTTTCATGCCATAGAATCACAGTTTTAGAGTTGGAAGGAAGCTGGAGATATCTAACGCAATCCCTCTCCTTTTTGTTTGACAGAGACAGAAAATGAGCTCCTGGGAAGTTGTGACTTGCCCAAGGTCACATCAGATATAAATAACAGAAGTGGTATCGGAACCCTTGTTCTTTGGCAGCTGATTCAAAGTCTGTGACCTTGTTCCCACGTTGCTAAATATAGCACCTTACCCCCACCCCATCCCAAAGAAACATTCTCTCTAACATTGTAATTTTGGAGAGCCAATTACAGTAGGGGAAAAAATACTGAATTCAGAGTCAGAGGACCCGGGTCAAAGTCCTAAACTTATACTATTTGTATAATCTTGGCCAAATCACTTAACCTCCCTGGGTCTCATTTTTCCTATCTGTAAAATGAGAGGGTTGAACTAAATGACCTTTAAGGTCCCTTCCAACTCTGCACACAAGCCAAGGTATTCCTGTTATTATGAGAATAGCTGTGTCCATTTGTCCTCACGACAAACCTATGAGATGGGTGGTTCAGGTACTAGAAGTCTCATTTCACAGACAAGGAATGTGAAGCTCAGAAAGGATATAACATAGTATTACATTAGAATTAGAAGTGTTATACTGAACTAATAATTAATATTCTAAATCAATGCTACCAAACTCAAATAGAAACAGCAGCCACTAAACCATAGGTAAGGATACCTGGGAGCTGCATATTGGCTTAGAAAATCGCATAGCAGCATTATCTATGTTTTATTGTGTTTTTATTTATTTTGTTCAATATTTCTCTATTACATTTTAATCAGGTTCAGGTCACATTTGAGAGTTGTGGGCTACATGTTTGACAGCTCTGTTCTAAATAACATACTCTATTATTATATAATTCATATTTTATGACAAAGAACATAAAATATAAGGAAGATATTAGAGGTTGTTATTACATAATAAATCATTTCATATTCTAATACTCTCATTAATGTAGGTTTTCTCTCCAACGATGCAGAAAACAATTTCTAAAGTCCTTCCCATCTGACATTCTATGCACAATGATTCTCAAGTCTTCTACAGCTCCAACATCCTGTATCCAAAGGTCTCTTCTGCCTCTGGGGTTCTATATTCCACAATTCTAAGTTCCTTTTCTGCTTTAACATCCTATGTGCTAAAGCCCGTTATGATCTTAAATTCTGAGTTTTATATTCTAAAGTCTCTTAATTGCTCTATATTAGAGTGCTTGTCTTCATTTTCCGGAAAGCTGAAAGGCTCTGGAAGCTGCCCAGATAGTTATTAGGGTCTTTCCCATGTAGGTATTCCAACCTCCAGCCAAGGGACATACGAGGCCATAAAAGAGTCGTAAGCATAGACATGCACTACTTATGCACAAACAGCTGCTACCCAAGAGATTCCACCAACTACCAACTCATCTGTGCTGACAGCCTCACCACCTGCAGCGCCAAGTGAAGAGGGAGTTAGGGACCAGATCAGAAATTAACGCCTTCACAGAATGAAGACAAGCTGGTGCTGAGGGACCTTTGACTCATATAACATTAGCACTGGGAGGAACCTTAGAGGTGATCTAGTGTCATTAACCCCCTCCTTTTTCAGGGGAAAAATCAAAGCCTACAGAGAAGAGGTCAGATGGAAAGTTAGTGGAAGAAACCAGGATAGAGCTTGTCTCCTAATTCCCAAGCTAGGGCTTCCTCCACCCCCACCACACGACTTCTATGAGAGTAAGTACCACACATGACAATTGGCCAACAAGGCCAACCGGCCTAGCTATGTCTTGGGGCATGATTCAATCCGCCATACACAAATCCACATGGTACCAAGTTATGCCATATGTGTGTGACAGACTGGGAAGAAATAAACAGATGGAAAGACTTGGAGTCAGAAGACTTAGGTTCAAATGCCAATCCTGCCCCGTACTGACTGTGACCTTTGGCAAGTCAGCTCATCTCCATTTCCTAATCAATACAATAAGAGGGTAGAACTAGATGATTTCTGAAGGAAGCTGGAAAGAGAAATAGTACTTCAGGGTATTTTGAATGTGGCTCTGTGGGAAGGCCCTCAAATCATAGCACCACAGATTTAGAGACAGAAGGGGCCTACAGGGTCATCTAGTTCAGTACTGTCAAACTCAAATAGAAACAGGGGCCACTAAACCATATTTAAGTGTCCCTACTGGCTGCATATTGACTTAGAAAACCACATATTAACATTATCTGTTATATTTTCATTTTGCTAAATATTTCCTAATTACATTTTAATCTGGTTCAGGCAGTACTCAGGAGTGCTGCAGGCCACAATAAAGAGGTGTTTGATACTTCTAATCTAATCTAATCCTCTCATTTTACAGTTGTTCTGACAGCAGGGAAGGTCACAGTTACCCAACTAGGAAATGACAGAGGATTGATTTATCCTAGGTGCTCTCTTTCCAAATTCAATACTACACCATGCTCTGAACCTAAAAAACCTAGCACTGAGTCTAACCCAAATGTAGGAAATTTAGAAAGGCAGACAAGGAGAGCATAAAGAATACTGCACTTGAACTCCAGAGACTTGGAACCAATTTGTATCCCCCATCACTTAAACTAGGCATGTGACTGTAAGCAAATCACTTACTTTGTCTGGACTTCTGTTTTCTCTTCTATAAAGGGCAATCATAATGCTCATGCTAACTACATGCCTCACAGGGTTATTGGGATGGAAGAGTTTTATGAGGTTCAAAACACTATAGAAATGTGAGCTA